GCGCTCCTGCGGCCTGGTCCGGGGCTGGGTGTCCCCAGGGGTTGGCCTCTGCCAGTTCTGCCGTCCAGGTGTGTTGCACCGCGAGAGCAGCAGCAGCAGGGATGCACCTCTGGGAGAGGAGAGGGTAGGGGCTCTTCTTTCTGCTGGCAGGGCCAAATTCTGACAAACATTAAAATGTTTCTGTCGCCTACCATCTCTGTCGGGAACTCTGCTACAGCCTGTGGCCCTGGCCAGTCCCAGGAGGGACATCTGAGCGATGACAGTTCAGTTTTGCCTGACATTTTCCTGAAAAGGCTGAGAGCTTCTTCGGTCTCGTTCCTGGTAAATGTTAAAAACAATTCAGTGTCACTATTTCTGTCACGACCTCTTTTGTGCTTCATCGGTACCTTTGTTATACTGAGAGAACAACTGTTTTGCTGATACTTTTTAAATGCACAGCACTGGAAAGGTGAAACTTTCATCACTGTTCCCTGTCCTATAATTCTGTATTTTTTGTCTTAGTATTAACAAATCCAGTAGTCAATGAGCTAGCAACAAGAAATACTCTCTTTTTAATAAATGAAACTGTTATGGTATAGAGTTGGAGGCATATGACAAATTCATTTAATTCCATTCCTCGAAAAAGCTCTTGATCTCAAGTTCAGTTTCAAAGCTAACTAGAAAAAATGCGGCAATAGGCATCTACAGTTTCTTCTCCCCAGAGAATGGATGGCTTGCTTGCAAATCTGTAGTCTACATAGCATTTCACTTGGGTGACCTCCTTAGTACAGAATGAGGAGGATACTTTTTCTGACATAGTGGGATTATCAGCAATAACGAGAAGATAAGTGATTTAATTAGTTCATCCACTATCTTAACTTGTCATCTTAGGTCTCTTGCAGGTTCAGCTGGTTTCAGAACACTGAAAAACACAAATAATGTGGAATCACCAGATTTCCAGTAATGAAATTAAATCTTCTCCTTCCAGCCTGCTCCATGCACATTCCTACCTCAGCGCATTCTTCCTTCTTCCAAACTTACGTCTTTGTGCTGTTCCAACCCAATCTGTTATTTTAACCTTAGGCCATATATAACTTTATGATGCTAGAAAAATATGTAAGCTAATAGCCTTCCCGACTATTTTGATTTGAAAAATGAATGCCAAGAAAGGATTGGAGATGGTTAACCACTGGGCCCCTGGGCTGATAGACAAGTAGAATTAACCTCCTCTCAGACAGAATTATGTTGGAGATTATGTCTCTGTGAGCTTTTGCTTTATGCTTGAGTGCCATGGACAAAAGCTAGGTATATTATGGCTTGTCCAACTCTTTAGTTACCATTTTTAAAAGGCTGGGTTGTTTTTTTTCTGACATATTGTCAAAACAGCAGATGCTTTTTTAAGAAAACAAACAACCTTTTTACATTATAGACACTGCATAGATTGCAACTAGTTCTGCATATGCCAATGCTGAAAAAATAAGGATGACGAGCCAGAAGACAAAATGAGGTTAATCAGTTTAAAGCATAGTAGTTAAATTACTAAACAAAATTATCTGAGTAGTTTTATAGCTTATTTTATCCCAGGTGCAAATTTACAACTACTGCGTTAGCAAAAGAACTGTATTAAAAGGTTTCTGTAAACTTGGTATCTTCTTGTGGGTTTCTGGAGTGTAATCCACGAGTCAGATGTTTATGCAGCTCACAAAGAGCTCGTCTTCTGTCCTTAGCCTCGTAGCTCCTCAGGGCCTTGGGAGAAGCCTTTTTTCCAGGCCCCAACTGCTGCTCTCCCACTGTGCAGCAGCAAGGAGAAACTGCGAGGTCCCTTCCAGAGGCTGGGCCTGGTGGCAGTTCTGTCTTTGAGGGCAGAAGTTAAAATGCCACCTAAGGCCAGCACTCATGGGGAAACAGGCTCAGCGCACCCGCTCTGTCCAGCCAGAGCCAGAGGAGGGTAAAGATCTTCCTGGGAGCGCTGGAAGGCTGCTGGCAGCTAGTTTTGGGACTTAGACTTCTTGTGCCAGCTTCCAATGTTCGAGCTGCTCAAGCTGTTCAAGATGGGGTTTTATGTGACCACCAGCTCAAGGTGACATCTATTTAAAGGTTTCCACAAGGAAAAATGCTTTGAGGATCTGCCTTGATGTATTTTAAGAGATTTTATGTTCTACACCTACGCCTGATTTCTCTTTGTAGTGTTTTCCACAAATATATTTTCTTTCTTCTTGTGTCTGCAGTCAAAGGAAGCTATTAGAGTTCTACCACGTCCTTTAACATTGGCCAGAAGCCTGTTAAATGGCCACGTAAACAAAACGGGAACAAAAATGAATAAAGATACTGATGCCCAGTAAGAGGTACTACAATACAAATTTGTTTTATGAGAAACGAGTGCCTAGAAATGTCTTGGGTGAAAAACACCTTTGCCGACTCCACCACTGTATGTATGAAAAATGGAATTGCGTGATGGAAACTGACCCAGTTACACCACATAATTCATGATCTGTATATGACACCCAAACACTTAATTTCAGGGCAAAAAAACTACCTTTCAGGAAGGTAGTTTGTTCATTTGAACTCCAGTGAAATGCTGTGCCATATATGAAACTTTAAAACAAGGCTCTCTGTGCAGGCAAATTCAGAGAATAAGTTTCCCCCACCCAGAGTTGTGACGTGTCTATAGTACAGCCAAGCCCTCTGGTCTGATTTTTCACAAGCTGTCCTGCTGTGAACTGGTCAACTTGTTTTGACAGTTGCTGGTACTTAAATTTTCTAATGAATCCGAAGTGAGAAAATCATCAGTAAAAACAGCTCTTTCCCATCGCTTTTAAAATAGAACAATTTCTTCATGAAATGCAAGGTTATGCTCTGAAACATTCACAGCACACAGTGTTAAGCTCTTAGTGGAGCTAAAAATGAAATTAGGCAATTGGG